TACGTCATCGATCACTTTCCTCTTTGGCCCCATAATCTTCTTGATCAGAAAATTTGGGACACTACCGAGGTACATGACATTACAGTACAAGTTCTCAATGCTATATACATTGTTTTGATGTGTTGTTTAGAGAATAATGATAAGAAAAATATGTATGTCCAATACCATTGCAGTTTTATTTTTTAAAGATTCTTGGCCCATGTTTGGCTGAGTTCATGGATGCTAACTGACAGGTATAGAAAGCCAGTCATGTTCCATACACAAATAAGGAGAAACACACATCTAATCTTCACTGCCGGTTCTCTGGGAGGAGAGTTTATCCTCTGTGCATCTGTGTCCTAAATTCTTCCTCTTGTGATATCATCATAAGCATACAGTACTTTTGTAATTAGGCAAAGAAGAACTTTAATTTTAAGTGGTGTGGAAGACATCTACACAAAATGGACATGACACTGAAAATTAGGAAAAGAAGTAAAGCAACTAGTATGACATAATATGAAAGAGACATGTCCAGCCTCATTAGTAGTCAAAGAAATACAAATGAAAAGAAAGTGGTTTTTTTTTTATTACCAAACTAGAAAATAAAATTTAGTGATGATAAAGCAAGAAAAAAGAAAATAGATCCACACAATGTGCAGTGTTCTAACCCATTTGGAAAACAAATTAGCAAAATGTGTTAGGATTTCTTTTTAATGTTCTTTTTTTGTTTTTTGGTTGTTTTTTTGTTTTTCTGTTTTTTTGCAGAACCGGGGAATGAACTCAGGTCCTTGTGCTTGCCAGGCAAGCACTTATTCTACTGAGCCATCTCCCTGGCCCCTCTTTTTAATGTTCAAATTTTCAATCTATTAAATCCACTGGAAACACATCCTTAAATAAGAAAAGGTTCTTATAAAAAACTGATAATGCAATTTTTTTTAATTTTAGGGAAGGGTCTACAGGGTGTTCAGGGTCTCACTACTAGATCAGTCATAGTGATCCTCCTGTTTACAGCCTCCCAAGAGCTGGAATTACAGGCTTGCACCACAACACCCAGTCTCAATCCACGTCTCAGTATGCCCTGGGGGCAGGGGTGGCACAGCAGGCCTGGGGATCGAACCCCCAGCCCCTGCACTGCCAGGAAGCACTTTAATCCCCTGAGCTATTTGGCCAGCCCAATAATGTAAATTTTAATGTTTGGCCAAATGATAAAAAGTAGAGTAGAGTTCTTTTTATTCGCGGTACCAGGGATTGAACTCAGGACCTTGCACTTGCCGGGCAAGTGCTTATTCTACTGAGCTATCTCCCTGGCCCCCAAAAATAGCCAAGATATATCCATTCAATGGTATGGTACCTAGCCAATAAAAATTATAGAATTAAATGACAATTGAATGGCACAGTTACATGGAAAATAATTTTAAAATACATATAAACATAACTATGTTATAATAAAAAACCCTCTATTAATAATGAAGTATTCCTGGTTGCTTTTGAATATTTCTATTGTAGGTAATTTCTTCCCTCTTTCTAATTTTCTATATTGTTCTGATTTTATCTTATAATAACAATGCTAATTGTGAGGGCAACAGTACAGAGGAAACAGTGCCCAGAATATGCTGGGAAACATTCTTTAAATGTCTTCCTGTTGTTTCCCAAGCAACCACAGAAACCAGGACA